CCCAGGCCATCAACGATGCGAAAGGTGTTCAGGCTACTGTCCGCTGAGGTATGCAGCATACTGGTTGTGCTAAAATCGCGGAGATGCATCAGTGAAAAGTCATTCAGGTAGGATGCCTGCACTAAAGGTGAAGTTTGGCTGAGTGTGATTGACAGTTATGGTGCATCGATACTGGTGAAGGTAAAGCTTTTGGAAACCAACCACAGCCACTTCGTGGTCCTCAGGTGAATCCGCACTTCTAGCGCCAGTGTAAACGTGCAAGGTACGTGGGACTCGTTGGACCAGAGTGCGCGTTCCAACTGCACGCAGCACTTTTTCCTTGGCTAGGGGGGCATCATTAAAGAAGGCGCAGTTAACTCTGTTTTTGCATCATTACAATCCTGTCAGAAGTCAGTGCTACCAGGGCGCGGCGGGCTGAGGCCTGGCAAGCCAAAAGCCTATAAGGTGTCGCAAAGCCTGACGACGGTGCTGTAACATGGCGAGCGTGAACCGCCATCAAATAAGTTCGCTTGCCACTGCTGCCTCGTGGTTAGGTTATTGAGCCAAAGCGCTAGAGGAGACGACCTCGAAAAAACGATCCATGCGGCTGTTTGGGACCTGCCTGTACTCAAAATTCACAAAACACTTTCTGACACCTCATTAAATCTATGTCAAAAGTCTAGCCTCTAGCCGCAAGTAGGCCATACGGGAAGAAAGAGGAGTTGCAATGAAGGAGGACTATGTCAGATTTGCTAGCCGCCAATGACAGCTGATCTACAATAAACCCCAACAAGTCTGATGCGCCAATGAAACCCAATTGGGTCACCGTACAGCCATCGGCAGAGTGGACCTCACGAATATGTAATTATAGCTAGCAACCCTGACACTCTTGCAGCACCATCGCATGCAGCGGGAACATTTAAGAACAGGAATTACGGAGCCAAAATATATGATCACTAAAGAGTATTATAGTCTAACTACCTTATAGAATAAAGACCGTGACAGGTAACCCTATACTAATCAGTTAAAGGACACACTCGTCCGTCCATGGTGCCTTTGGAGCTCACACTCGAGCCTACACCGCAAGGCGGTGATATAGGCAGAAGGACATTATAGACAAAAATAAGTGAGACTAGGATGGCCATTTCGGGCTTACTAGCCGTCGTCAGCCAGTCATACCCAGACCCAAGTGGTATCCCACCCGAGCCTCGAGTTCGTGACCTTTCTGATCAGAGTCAAACGCCCTAACCACTAAGCCAAAAGCTCGTTGTCTTGCCGGTTTTTGATCGGGAATATACAGTGGCAGATAGGCATAGCTGTTTATTCTTTGCAAGGCGAAGAACAACACTAACTACTGGATGGTGCAAATAACTAATCAGTCGGCTTAAACAAGCGAGGGTAACACTATCTCGGTGGTGGGGTAATAGCGGTAACTTGGGCTTAAATTTATGGTACAGTAGACTTGCACGGCATCTAGTACACTACCTACTCCCTTACCTATCAAGCCTTAAAGCATAACAAAGCCGGGTCCATCGAAGGCTAACGAAATTGACCAATCCATTTACACGTACAACACACAGATTGATTTCAGATGAAACAAACATCGGAAAAGTGGCAGGGTCATGAAAAGCACGCTAAGGTGACATTTCATTCTGGCAGCCAGCCTGCATGGGTTCTGAGGTGGCCTGTCAGTTTACAGCTTTTCAAGCCCCAGCTGTTAAGGTGGTGTGATAGTTTAAAGTCATTTAGCATTATAAAAAAAACTGCGTTGAAAATAAATAAGCCTCTG